TGTTGACCAGGATGGTCTCGATCTCTTGACCTTGTGATCCACCCGCCTCGGCCTCCCAAAGTGCTGGGATTACAGGCTTGAGCCACCGTGCCTGGCCCTCCTTGAATTTTCCTAAAAATTTCTAGATCAGCCAGTCAGTTTTTGCCCAAAAAAATTGTAAAAAAAAGCCTACTGGGAATGTTGAGAGGATTATGTGAAATTTTTTAGCTCATTGTGGGGAGTACTGCCACATTAATAACATTGTCTTTTTAATCCATGAATCTGGTATGTTTTCTACTTATTTAGGCTTTTAATAATTTTCTTTCTTTCTTTTCTTTATTTTTTGAGATGGAGTTTCACTCGTGTCACCCAGGCTGGAGTGCAATGATGTGATCTTGGCTCACTGCAACCTCCACCTTCTGGGTTCAAGCAGTTCTCTTGCCTCAGCCTCCAGAATAGCTGGGATTACAGGTGCCTACCACATGCCTGGCTAATTTTTGTATTTTTACTAGAGACGGGATTTCATTACGTTGGCCATGCTGGTCTTGAACTGACCTTGTGATCTGCCCACCTGGGCCTCCCAAAGTACTGGGATTACAGGCATGAGCCACCATGTACGGCCTGTTTAATTTTTTTCAATGATATTTTTTCATTTTCAGTGTATGTCTCACACTGATTTTGTTAAATTTATTAGGTATTTTATTTGTTTAACACTTAATTTTCTTTTTCTTTTTCTTTTTCTTTTTTTTTTGTTTTTGTTTTTGAGGCAGAGTCTCACTCTCTTGCCCAAGCTGGAGTGCAGTGGCGCGATCTTGGCTCACTACAACCTCTGCCTCGCATGCTCAAGCGATTTTCCTGCCTCAGCCTCCCAAGTAGCTTGACTATAGAGTCACCCCACCACCCCCAGCTGATTTTTTTTTTTTTTTTGGAGACAGGTTTCACTATGCTGGCCAGGACGGTCTCAATCTCTTGACCTTGTGATCCGCCCACCTCGGCCTCCCAAAGTGCTGGGATTATAGGCATGAGCCACCTCACTCAGCCGATTTTTGTTTTTTTGTTTTTTGAGACGGGGTTTCTCTCTTGTTACTTTACCCAGGCTGGAGTGCAATGGCCTGATCTCAGCTCACTGCAACCCCCGCCTCCTGGGTTCAAGCGATTTTCCTGCCTCAGCCTCCCGAGTAGCTGGGACTACAGGCGCGCACCACCATGCCCAGCTAATTTTTGTATTTTTAGTAGAGATGGGCTTTCACCTTGTTGACCAGGATGGTCTCGATCTCTTGACCTTATGATCCACCCGCCGCGGCTACCCAAACTGCTGGGATTACAGGCGTGAGCCACCGCCCCTGGCCCCATTTTTGTATTTTTATTAGAGATGGGTTTCACCATGTTGGCCAGGCTGGTTTGGAACTTCTCACCTCAAGTGATCTGTCCAGTTTGGCCTCCCAAAGTGCTGGGATTGCAGGCATGAGCCACCACACCTGGCCTTAATTTTTTTTGTGTGTTGTTACCCAGGCTGGAGTACAGTGGCATGATCATGGCTCACTACAGCCTCTACCTCCCCCCTCAAACTCTAGAGTAGCTTGCATTATAGCTATGCGTCACCATGCCCAGCTAATTTTATGTTTTTTTTTGTAGAGACAGGATTTTACTCTCTTACCCAGGATAGTGTCAAACTCCTGTGCTCAAGGCATCCTACCACTTTGGCCTCCCAAACTGCTGGGATCGACAGGCATGAGCTACTGTACTTGGCCTATCTTCGTAGAACTGTTATTGAAAGTGGAGTATAGAGCCAGGTGTGGTGGCTCACGCCTGTAATCCTAGCACTTTGGGAGGCTGAGGTGGGTGGATCACCTGAGGTCAGGAGTTCAAGACCAACCTGGCCATCATGGTGAAATCCCATCTTATTAAAAAAAAAAAAACTGGAATATAGAAGTATTTGATTTTGTATTTTACATTAGTCACCCAGGCTGTAGTCCAGTGGTGTGATCTTGGCTCACTGCAACCTCTGCCTCTTGGGTTCAAGTGATTCTTGTGCCTCGGCCCCCTGAGTAGCTGGGATTACAGATGCCTGCCACCACACCCAGAGAATTTAAAAATTTTTATTAGAGGTGGAATTTCACCATGTTGGCCTCCCTAGTCTGGTACTCCAGTCCTCATGTGATCCACTTGCCTCAGCCTCCCAAAGTGCTAGGATTACAGCTATTAGCGACTGTGCCCGGTCTCCAATTATTTTTTAACTGTCTTTTTCTCCCTTCAGTTTTTTTCAGTTTTTCCTTCGTGTGTTTTGGGGCTTTGTTTTTAAGTACATGTATTTTTAAAATTATTTGTTTTTTTTTTTTTTTTTTTTTTTTTTTTTTTTTTTTTGAGTTTCAGTCTTGTGTCTCACTCTGGTGCCCACGATGGAATGTGGTTGCACAGTTTTGACTCACTGCAACCTCCATCTCTCAGGTTTAAGTGATTCTCCTGCCTTAGCCTCTGGAGTAGCTAGGACTACAGGCGTGCACCATCGTGCCCGGCTAATTTTTCTTTTTTTTGTACTTTTAGTAGAGACGAGGTTTCACCATGTTTCCCATGCTGAGCTTGCACTCCTGACCTCAGGTGATCTACCCGCCTTGGCCTCCCAAAGTACTGGGATTACAGGCGTGAGCCACCATGCCTGGTCTTAATTGTTATATGTTTCTGATGGATTGACTGTTATTTTAAAATGTCTTAACCATTTTTTTCTTAAATGTTGGTTTTGTTTGATACTAGTATAACCATTATAGTTCTCTTATTGTTTGCTTGGTATATCTTTTTTTTCCCCCAACTATACGTATCTTAATCTGAAGGAAGTCTCTTTTAGAGAAGGTATGGTTGGAGTGTATTTGTGAATTTCTGTGTGTGTGTTTACTACATTCTGCCTATCTTGCATTTAATGTTTTTATTGATAATGTAGGGCTCTTTTGCTGTTAATCTTTGTATCTCATCAGTCGCTGTTGTTCCTCTGTTCTTCCATTACTGCCTCTCTTACTGTTAAGTAGATACTTTGTAGTGTACCATCTTAAGTACTTTGCTTCTTTGGCTTTATTTTTTGATTTGTTTCTTAGTGGCTACCTTAGGTATTAAAACTAACATTTTAACTCATTCCAATCTTTTACTTATTAATATCAACTGAATTTCAGTAGGATCCAAAAATTTTCTTTAGTTTGGCTTTGTTTCCTCCCTCCTCCACTTTTGCCATTATTGTCATGCAAATTAAACCTTTATACATTATGTGATCACCAAGATTTTTT